AAAACCCTAGACAAAATTTACGAAAGGTGGAAAAAGAAATGGAGGCTGGTTAGGGACTGGTGGACTTGAGGGACTATGATGGTAAGTTTCCTGGAGTGTTTTTGTCTTAGTTTTGCATCCTATACATATACTCAGCCTGCATGCTGAGTATAGATTGGATACTGAGTTTATAAACTGGAAGATACAATATTGTTGTTAGGTACCGTCAACTTGGTTTCAATTCATAGCAACCCTGTGTACAACAGAATGAAACACTGGCCAATCCGTGTCATCCTCAGAACCCTCGGTATGCTTAAGCCCATCATCGCAGTCACTGTGTCGATCCATCTTGTTGAGGGTCTTCTCCTTTTTCACTGACTCTCTACCTACCAAGATACTCTTCTCCAGGGTCTGGTCCCTTCTGATAACATGACCAAAGGATGAGAGATGAATTCTAGCCATTCTTGCTTCTAAGGAGCAATCCAGGTATACTTCCTCCAAGACAGACTCGTTTGTTCTTCTTGCAGCCCATAATACATTCAATATTCTTTGCCAACACAATTCAAATGCATCAATTCTTCTTTGGTCTTCCTTATTCATCGTCCAGCTCCTACATGCATATGAGGGCACTGAAAACATCATGGCTTGGGTCAGGAGCACCTTGGTCTTCAAAATGAAATCTTTGCTCTTAAATACTTTAAACAGGTCTTTTGCAGAAGATTTGCTCAATGCAATACAATGTCTGACTTCTTGACAGCTGCTTCCACGGTCATTGAATGTGGATCCAGGTGAAATGAAATCCTCAATGTCGATCTTTTCTTCATTTATCACGATAAATGATAATGGTGCTTACTGGTCTGTTTGTGAGGATTTTTGTTTTCTTTATGTGGAGATGTAATCCATACTGAAAGCTATAGTCTTTGATCTTCATCAGTAAATGCTTCAAGTCTTCTTCATTTTCAGCAAACAAGGTTGTGTCATCTGCATATTGCAGGTTGTTAATGAGTCTTCCTTCAATCCTGATGCAGCATTCTCCTTTATATAGTTCAGCTTCTCGGATTATTTGTTCAACATACAGATCAAATAAGTATGGTGAAAGGATACAATCCTGACACACACTTTTCTTGATTTTAAACCCCTTGCTCTGTTTGTATGACTGTCTCTCAGTCTATGTACAGGTTTATCATGAAGACTATTTAAGTATTCTGGATTTCCTTTCTTTGCAATGTTATCCATAATTTATTATGATCCACACAGTTGAATGTCTTTGCATAGTCAGTAAAACACAGATAAATATTTTTCCAGTATTCTTTTCCTTTCAGCCAAGATCCATTTGACAACACCTCATTCCACGTTCTCTTCTGAATCCAGCTTGAATTTCTGGCAGTTCTCTGTCAATATACTGCCGCAATCATTTTTCAATTGTTTTTGGCATATTTTACTTGCATGTGATACTAATGATATTGTTTGATAATTTCTGCATTCCGTTGGATCAACTTTCTTTAGAATGGGTGCAAGTATGGATCTCTTACAGTTGGTTGGCCAGGTAGCTGTCTTCCAAGTTTCTTGGCATAAATAAGTAAGCACCTCCAGTGCTGCATCCATTTGTTGAAACATCCCAGTGGGTATTTTATCAATTCCTGGAGCCACTAATTCTTTTAGTACCACGGGTTCTTGATTATATGCTCCCTCCTGAAGTGGCTGAATGTTGACCAATTCTTTATGCTATGGTGACACAGTGTATTCTTTCCATCTTCTTTTGGTGCTTCCTCCATCATTCAATATTTTGCCCTAGAATCCTTCCATATTGCAACTCAAGGCTTGAATTTCTCTTCAATTTTTTTAGCTTGAGAAATGCCGAGCTTGTTCTTCTCCTCTGATTTTCTAACTCCAGGTTTTTGCACATTTCATTATAATACTTTATTTTGCCCTCTTGAGCTGTCCTTTGAAATCTTCTGTTCAGCTCTTTTACTTCATCATGTCTTCCATTTGCTTTAGCTACTCTTCATTCAAGTACAAGTTTCAGAGTCTCTTCTGATATCTATTTTGGTTTTTTCTTTCTTTACTTTTTGGTCTTCTCTTCCTTTGTTGTTGTTAAGATGCTTTAATTTTCCTAAATTGATATTTGCTTCCACATAATCCCAATCAAATTCACAGAAAGCAATTTTTGTAGAGATCACAATGTGGTTTTAAAATTTATGTGGAAAGGCAAATGAAGTAGAAGACTGAAAGAATTTTTTGAGAAAGAACA